GGCTCAGCCCCCTCTAGAAACCTTTGAGCCCCCTCTAGGATGAAAACGATCTAGCATTAAGATGGAAGAGCATACTTATTTTCAGCCTCAAAACTGTAGCTAGAGGGGGCTCAGCCCCCTCTAAAAAATTTTTCTGGCTCCGCCACTACTTTCAAGGAAGAGAATTACTATAAACTATGAATTCATCAACCTTCCTCACACGTTATGATTTTCGAACCCTTTATGGAGAACGTATCTATGCTATTGCACAACATCTTGAAAAACTTCATGTCAAACAATCAAAACTAGAAGAACATATCGACTTTCTAAAAAAGTGTAAACAAAATAATCTAATTCCAAATGGTCTACACTTAAAAAACACCACATATATATATAAAAACACTCAACTATTAAATAAAACAATGCACAAAATAAGAAACAACTTAATTGAACATCAATATAAACAAAAACATTGTCTGGAGATTGAATTGGCTACACAAAAATCCATCCTAGATTTGTATTTGAATAACCATCAACCATTGCGTCAACATCAGTTCGACCTATCATGGATCAATAAACGTGATGATTTACCCAAAATTAAATTGAGACAAAAACATGAAATAAAATTACAAAAACTTTTAAAAAACCAATCAACTCGTATAAAATTGGACAAAGATATTGATACTTCTAATGTGATCAACATTTCGGATAAAATCCTAAAGAATGAACATCTAAAAATTTTATCTAAAGGTCTCAAATTTGTACCAACACCTACTAATCTCAATATCATAGATATCATCACAAACGCTGAAAAATCTCTCTATTCAGCTTCACTCACCAACAAACAACTTGCAATATCAGAAATCTCAACGTTTGTAACAAAATGGAGAAAACCAACACGTCCTAATTTAACAAAACAAGAGCTTACTCTACTAAAAGAATTAAAGAATGACGAACAAATAATAATTATTCCGGCTGACAAAGGTGGTAAAATTGTGATTATGAATAGACAGGATTACATCAATAAAGTAGAACAAAAATTGAGTGACTTTGATTTATATGAAGAGGTTAATGATCCAACATCTTCACTAAAGAAGATAATTAATGAAATTACATTCAAATTATTCTCTCAACACAAAATTGATGATTATCAAAAGAAAATTTGGACATCTATAGATGATCTACCATATGTAAGAGCTCAACCAAAAATGCACAAAAAAGATCATCCATTAAGAATTATTACATGCACAAGATCAACTATTCTCTCATATGTCTCAAAATATGTTTACTCATTGATTGAACAACTAAGAGAAACCTTAAAAAACTGTCTCAAAAATACTCGTAATCTAATTACAGAGATAGCAAAAATTACACTTGATCCAGATGACAGACTTATTAGTATCGATGTTGTGGACATGTTCACTAATGTTCCCGTGTCACAAGCTATATCAATTGTATTACAACTAATCGGATCATCAGAGAAATTTTGTCAAACTCGTTTGACAAAATCTGATTTATATGATTTATTGAATTTATGTCTTAAAAACAGCTATTTCACGTTTAACGGAAGATTCTACCGTCAAAAGAATGGTTTACCAATGGGTAATATTCTATCTGGTTTGATAGCAGATATCTATCTGCACCACCATCTACAACAAAGACTAATAGAAATACAAGGTAGAACATGGCGTTACGTGGATGATATGTTGGTTATAACTAAAATGTCAGAAACAGAAATTGAAAAATATATGAAGAAAATCAACTCTACAAAACACAAAATAAAATTCACCTATGAATATGAAAAGAAAAATCAATTGAATTACCTCGATACAACACTAACTAGAAATACAACGACAAATAGGATTGACATTCAATGGTATAGAAAAGATACGGCAAGTGATAGATTTCTAAACTATCAATCATGTCACCAACAATCGATCAAGAAAAATATAATCAAGAATATGACTGAAAGAATTATCACAACAACTAAAGATAGTCATCAACAAATAAATGATTTAAAGGCACTTAAACGTATGTTTGAAAACTCTCAATATCCAAAAGATGAAATTGAAAAACAAATTCAGGAAACAATCAGAAAACTTAGCAACAACGATAATTCACAATCTATTAATAATCAAAAGAAGAAAGATGAATATGAAATCAGCATGTCTTTACCTTACACTCCAGGTATTGAAGTACTCAAAAGAAAACTCGACAAATTGAAAATAAAACTTTACTTTTCATATCCACAAAAATTATCATCTCTCGTGCCTTCTAACATCAACAGGAAATCAAAAGCAATTGTTTACAAAATTCCCTGTGAATGTGGTGCAGAATATATAGGAGAGACAAAAAGAGGACTTGATGAAAGAATGCAAGAACATATTAGAAACATAAAAGAAAATGATGATCAATCAAAATCAGAGATGGTTCAACATCACAGACAACAAAATGGTATATGTAAATTTAATCCTAAAATAGCCACAGTCATTGATTATGAAACTGATGAAAGAAAACGACTTATTAAAGAAACTTTATACTCAAATATATTCAACACGATCAACAGACACGTTAAAATTAATCAATCATGGTTACCAATTTTAAACAAGCTTGGTAATACTATTAAGAAACATATTCGATTTAAAGAACAACATGATCCAACGACCATCAACAAAGGTGACAAGACGGTAATAGTGGCACGGACTAAGATGAAAGGCTAGCCTTTTCTTGCCAGTATTACCGTCTTGTCCGTGCCACTATTATGTATATATATATATCATTTGAAGCAGAAGAACGAAAGCAAACAACAATATATACATATATATATAAACGGAGAGAAGAAAAAAAAAAAAAGGATATTTCATAATTTTCATGTAAGTTTTAATCATTACTATTTCTGACGAAGGTCACCTTGATGTACCGAAACGTCAAATAAATAAAACACCATCTTTCAAGTAGTGGCGGAGCCAGGGGTGGGCCAGAGGGGGCTCAGCCCCCTCTAGAAACCTTTGAGCCCCCTCTAGGATGAAAACGATCTAGCATTAAGATGGAAGAGCATACTTATTTTCAGCCTCAAAACTGTAGCTAGAGGGGGCTCAGCCCCCTCTAAAAAATTTTTCTGGCTCCGCCACTACTCATGTGACAGGCTGTCTGCCATTTTAACAGCTCCTCCTTCTTGATGAAATTATAAACATAAAAGTCAATTGAAAATATTGCAATCTTCTCATTAAAACTGTTTAATTAATTATTTATGTTAGCAACTAGTTGATCTCTTTATGAGTATGTTCGTATACGGCGATTATGGATGAAAGCAGAAAGAAGTATAAACTTAAGTTATTTGATAGTCAAAAGTTCAGAAAACATGGAGAAATAACATATATGGATGAAACATGAACAATTAGGGAAAGCAATTGCTAAGTCGTTGCTTGCTGGTGCGTCGCCTATGTTCATTCTCATATTCTTTTATTAATATTGTATCATATAAGTCGAGATTCTCTCAACTTTGATGCTTATATGTTTTTTAGAACACATACCGTTATGTATCCTACGATTGACTGATTTTCCCGTGTTATGCATTGTTGCATATTTTCTTGATTCTCATGAAACAAATGCACTGATATTTTGAGTTGATGCCATTAGCCTCTTTTTTTGTCAAGGAAATAATTACTTCTTCTTGTTTCCATTGACATTTCAATGAAAAAAGATCATGGAATCATTCATCTAATAAAAAGACATATATATTGACTTTTTTGAAACTCCCCTTCGACTATTGTAAGATCATCTATGTTTTCTTTCATAGCTGTAAATTCATATCTTTTCTGCATGTCGCTTTTACGATTGTTATTTGTATTATGATATAGGTAACAGTATGACAAACAGTTCTTAAAAATAACCTACTTTTATAAACAATCTCATACATATCAAACTTTAAACTAACGAGTGTGGAATGTAATTAACAATAATATTTTCTTCATATGAACTACGATATATTACTCTCGATAGAAACATTCAGTCAGATTCCTTATTAATGGAAAGAGTAAGTTTTAACGACAAGTTATTTTCTTTAGTGAAAATGAATCTTTCCTTTCAACTAGACATGAAGTTCTTTTAGAATTATTTTAACTTTCTGTTGCTTTTCTCTGCTGTGTGGAATCGGTCTGAAATTTTATTTTGTTTTGAAGTTTAATCATATGTCATTTACATTAAGCTCGAATATTGTAACATAATTATATAGCAAATAATAGTGGCAGAATGTCTTATAGATGTTATTTCAGATCAACTAGCAAAGATATAACTATATATCGATGGATGATTTTCTCATGAAAATATGGAGTTAACTTAAATTTTTTATTTCGATAATAAAAATAAATATTAATGTGACTATGAATAACTAAAAGCTTCATACATCATTGATGTAGGATTTAGATCACATAAATAAATATTAGTGAATAAAGTCAACTGTATACATGTTTTGTGATAGCATGAAGCATTACTTCAATTCACAGTTCATGTAAAGAAATTCGTAAATTTTCATGACTGTTTTCTTCCCAAGATTCGGATTTTATTTCAAATCTTACCACTTATATCAATATCTAGCACTTTTTTTCTTAAGTTATAGTTGTCTCCGTGATAAATTGATGGTGTAATTGATATAAGTAAAAAACTTATGCAAAGGTGAAGATCAACCTAATAAACCGAAAAAAAAAATTTAACTTTTTATAATTTCTCAGTTTCTCAAATTACAACTCGTTATCTCTTGCTTTGGCATTTATTTGTATGCAGCCAACTAAAAAACACAAAAACATCACTAAATCAATCTACTGAGTTGATGTCTATTTAGATCTCATAACTATTTCACTCTGTTCACACATGATCGACTTTCTTTGAATGAACTGTCAATTGAAGCGATACTTTAAACGATCGTAAAACATATCTATGGTCGATTTTAATAATTTTAGTCATTCAAAGTTAACGACAAATATATCTATATTATCGAAATGAAAAATTATTTCTAATTATATATCTTAACGAGAAAATCATGTAACAAATAGATTGCTATTTATTCTCTAGTTGAACAGAATTAACTTTTAATATAAAAACTATATTAATCGTTTCTCATTGCCATTTAGATAATTAGTTTGTGATATAATTCTTTTATAGTTAGGAAGATCCAATATTAATTTTTCTCTTCTATT